AAGTGGATATGTGCTATATAAATGCAATCCATTATTATTTTTAACAAACTGAGAAGATCTTGAGCTGTCCACAGCCGGAAACTCATTCCCAACTGAGCGAACTGGGGAAAATTCATGTAAAAGGTTTTTCTCAGGGATACAACATAGGGCCCATGACGGGATTCGAACCCAGACTTGGAAAGCAACAGTAACTGTGGTACCAAGAACATTAAGAAAATAAAGAAAAACAACAACAACAACAACAACAACAAAAACAACAACAATAATAACAACAACAACAGCAGCAGCAAAAACAACAACAGCAACAATGAAAACAGCAGCAGCAACAAAAACAAAAATAACAACAACAACAACAAAAACAACAACAACAACAACAACAACAACAGCAACGACAACAACAACAAAGATCCAATCAATCTTTGAGTACAACACTCTTTAATCACTTTTATCTCCAGGATTTCGTTGTTGCGGTCCAAAAATGGTATGTTGAAATTCCTCCCCTTCCCTAACGCCGAAGGAATCTGGTGGTAACTTATTATTCTGGAAGCATAATTTTTATGCCGTGTTTCCTTTTCTTAATTTACGAAGCCGAACACTCAAGTCGACCTTCATTTCCAGGAATCCACTCCCCTTTTCACTTCCCCCACTTTTCCTCCTCTAAAATTGGAAATTGTGCGGAAGTTTCAACGTAGTTGTATTTTCCCTTGAATAAAAATGCTTTACTGTAAGCGTTTTTATGTGTGGGGGGGGGGGGGTGCAGACAGCCTCAAAAGAAACAGCCAGTGAGTAGTCTTATTATTATTATTCATTTTGTCTGCCGTTTCTTTTGTCCTTTCTTCAAGAACAAGGCCAGAAATGATTGCAGAACGTTTCCCTAAAATCTGAGTTCATTTTCATGTAGATGAAGAAGTTAATAACGGAATTGGACAGATAGAAAACGTAGAAGAAATAGTTGACAGCGTAATAGACATTGTGGTGTTTCTGGAAGGCGTAAAAACCCGGGAACAAAACACGGCATGAGTGGTGCAGAAACCGTGGGATGTACACGAGGCCTATGTAGACAAGGATTAACGTCACCAGCATCTTCTCCACTTTCCTCTCTGTCGCTGAGGCGCGGTTGTCGACCTTGATCGAAGGGCCCTGTGAGCCAGATCGAAATTTGGTGGATCGTTTGAGATGAATCATGATGATCACGGTGGAGAACACCATGATCAGAAAGAAAAAGACGGACCACACAGATGCGGTAAGGTCGTACTGCAATCGCAATAACCCAGCCGACGGATCGATGATTAAGAATACGACGTTTTGGCCGTACACAGCGCTGTAAGAGACCTTCAGTCGCCACGTACAATGGTATGGGAGGAACAGCGTGAAGATGACGACGGCGATGAAGACCAAAACGATAACGGTGTGACGAGGTGAGACGAATTGCTTGGCTTTGAAAGGAAACGAGACGCAGAAGCAGCGTTCTGCCGCCACGCAGGCAGCTAGACCTGAGGACACCTCAGAGATGTACACAGCCAGACTCAGGGTTGTGAGCGTGGAGATGTTCTTCCAACTGAATGCCACAGCGGGGGAGATGAGGTGCAGAAATCCGTGCATGCGGTGCAGGAAGCTAAAGACACATATGAGGAGGTCACACCAGGCGATAGCTGTTAGTGATTTGATGACACTGTCATTGCGACCTTGCCGAGTGAAGACGGCGATGACCAGTCCATTGGTCAAAATCCCTGTGATAGATAATGTCAGGCACAAACCTATATCGATGATTTGTTCTAGAAGATACAAAACTTCGTTGCTGATGATATCTTGAGACGGCCGAAAAGAGAAAAGATCAGCTGAGAACGTGTGGTTGTTCATCAACACATTCGTTGTTGTGTTAGCGACGGCTGGCATTGTGGACCATCAAGTCGGTGAAAGGTCAGCAGTTTCTGAGCAATGACTTAATTAAGGTACCAACGAAATTTGTCTAGCGTAGAAGACAGAAGATCTTCAACTGACACAGTTTACAAGACGGCAAGGAGCAATAATGGCCTTTGCTTCTTAAATATAAGTTTTTAGAAGACTGCGCTGTAGAAAATCGAGAGCAAGAAAATAAGTAAAATGACACACCTTTGGTATTTACAGCAAGAATGCTGGGTTGGTTTGTTTTACTTTCTATACAGCTTGTTGCTACGGATACCAATAAAAGTTCACTTGAACGCTTTCAACTTCGCATGACGTCTACCTTTACGGACAGAAGTATCCGTTCTTACGTCTTGTTTTCAGGGAACCGAAGCAACTACCACTAAAATGGAAATATGCTGTAGAAAAGTTTCTTGACATGTACTTCTATCCTCTTAGCTTGCAAGCAGCTGGGTATTTTACTCTGGGTATACAGAAAGCAATTCTTCGTTTGTATGCAGCCAAATTTGTCATCCAAATTCTTTAGCATCACAAACTTCCTTATTACTCAACTGTAGTTAGAAATGTATATAAAATCAACACCAAACATAGCATGAATAAATAAATGAATGAATGATCCAAGCCGTTAATATACAGCTTGTTTATATATTTTAAAAGAGGGCTGGCTCATGATTTTTGTACACCTTTAAACAACAGAGTGATTCCGTGAACCAGCAGGACTGTCAAGCCGTACAGTAAGAGTTGAGATATTATTCAGCACTGCTAGTAAACATGAACAATTGCTTGTTTGTTTCATATTATCATGGCTCAAGCTGGGTCAATATCGTCAGAAAGTGGACCAAATAGACAGTTTAGTTTAGTTTTAGTAGAGGTTTTACGGCGCTCGCAACTGCATAAGGTCATATGAGCGCCAGGGATCAAATAGACAGAGCTAGGAACCCTCGGCAAAGACGAAATTGATGCTTTGGTGGAGAAGAAGACTACTTTTATACTTTAAAACGGAATGATAAATCTCTTAGAACGAGGCATGAGTTTTGGGAACAAAAAACAAAAAAATAGTTAAATGTTTTGAGATGAATGAGTCGTGACTTGCTCGGTTTACCTCTTTTTCTGTCGCCTTTTTGTTTCCTTATTTTTTATTGGTGTTTTTTGGTTGTTGTTTTTTATTTTTTGTTTTGTTTTGTTTGCTTTTGCTTTTATTTCTTTGTTTGGTTTTAATTTAGAAGTATTAAAACGCAGGTTTTAAAAAAAACGCATTATAACGGCAATGTAGTAATCATTTTGTTTAGTTCTTTTTTTAAGACGGAGCCTTATTGAATAAGTCAATCGCGAACTGTTAAAGGTTATGATATCATCCATGTCCCTTGATCAGCGCGAGTGGGTGAGCTGGGTTAACGAGAACCTGTTGAAGCTCTGCTCCCTACTCAACCCCATAGTGTTAGTAACAGTATGGCATTTCAATCCAATTTTTTAAAAATGAAATCCATTCCATTTTCTTGGGCATTGAATTGCGTGTCAGTTATATATTTTCTAATCTCTAGTGGTTGAACTTTTTTAAAAATCTAAGATAAATATTTCCTTTACGTGGTTTGAGAAATGTTTCTTAATCATGTGACGTGCTCCATTTTTGTCAACTTTTTATTTTTCCTTTCGTCATGAAATTCTTTTATGAAGGTAATTTACTTAGTCTTAATTGTTATGCTTATTATCTAGATCTACATGTTTTTGATGGGTTTTTTCCTGTTCGGGTTTTTTTTTTGGGGGGGGGGGTTGGCTTTTTTGTTTTGTTTTGTTGAGTGTTTTTTTAACTACTTCTGAAACGCCATGAAAAAAAATACTCACAGGGATAATAAAATGTTATCTTATCTTTTCACAAAACGCAGCTTTTCATCTATGCTTCCTCTCCAAGGAACATGGTGAGACCACTTGACTCTCTAGTGCCCCTATTGGTTCATATGTGAACGATGGTATGCAGATTTGTTTCAAATTGTTGTTGTTGATGTGATGTTTTGTTTGTTTGTTGTTGAGTAGTGTTTCTTCTGAAGTTGGTTGTTTGTTGTTGTTTTGTTTGGGGGTTTTTTTTTGGGGGGGGGGGGCTGGGTTGAGGGTAGTTGGGGGGGGAGGGAGGGCGGCGACTGCTGTTATTAACTTCAAATGTTCCATTTACATTACCTTTATAACAAAAGCATAAAAGGGCACAATTTTCCTATCGGTATTAATTCTTGCTATGGGCACTAGAGAGTTAAAAGAACAATCATTGTCATTGACTTATTTGTATCTCGACGACTGGCGAGCTCTCAAGTTTTAAATTATTGCAACTTCTGGGGAAGTGAAAGCTGCAGAATAAGTTCTTGATGCATGAAGACGTGCGACTACCACTTCAGTTGTCCTCGGGGGAAACCAGTTTGCCAATATAATTTATGTTTTAGTTTTAGGACAACTATTTCTTCCGTGGCCCCCGACAACAAAATCTGATCTATCTCATAACATACACACTTGAAATCCCCATGGGCTCCAAGAGTCTTTTTTGAGAGGAAGTAAAGCTTCAGTTTATTATCCGTGTTCACATTTTGATTTGCTACAGTACAATGGAATTGATGAGGAAGGGCGTACTTGGCTATAATAATATACCCCTTAAGAGTTCACAATTGTAAGAGTGTTTGTTTGGTGAAGTTTTACAACGCCTTTGTCTGTTGTACAGCAGAAATCATCTAAGACGGCCACCCCATGTCGAGGAGAAAAGTGGCTGTCCTTGACAGGTGACGTCTTGCACAGTGTCATTATAACCTTTTAAAAAACTCAAGGGGAGAAATGGGAAGTAGCTGTTTGTACTTGTGGTTGTCTGACACAAGTGACCGTCAGAACAGGTTCAACTGTATTCCCGTGTAGGTCACTGTGTTCATTATCATCTTCTCCGCTTGTCGTCTATTTGGTTGTTTAATTTGCAATCTGATGTGTTGATCAGTGGCAGGGGGAGGGGGGTAGGCCTAGCCTATTGTATTGTTTTGGCTGAGAGTGTGAGAGTGAGTAAAGTGTGAGGCTCAGTTCAGTTTTATTGTTTGGTACAAGTGTATAAAAACAGTCTGGATTACTACAGGTCAGACTTTAGAGGGGAGAGCTGTAGCAAGGCAGAGGAGGCCTGCTGAGAGTTCGGGTGGAGAAAAGGCCAGTTAGAGCCTCAGTTTATTTCTGTGTTGCGTGTGAGATTTCAATGCATCGGGGCCCCATCGCTGAAGAAAGGATCACCATCCGGAGAGAAACAGGTTTAGCTAACCCCAGTTGTAAACGCAGGCAAACAAAAGGTTAGTGTTAAACATTATTTTATGTTCAAGTAACAGCAGTTATGAATGAAGCCAGAGTCAGAGTGATGCCAGTATCAAAAAAGGGAACTTGTGACGTCACTCTATCCCAACTATAAAAATCATTCGTCTATTCTTTATCACCACACACATTGTGTCAAACTCAAGGCCTGCGGGCTGCTTCCGACCAGACGAACAATTAATGACACCTGACCTGTAAGAAAAGTATAGGCAGTTCATTCTTAGAATCTTCATAACATAGAACCTTAGTCCAAACATAAACAACCTTTTTGTCAAGAAAAGGAGCCAAACATCAAACATTGGGATAAATTTGCATAATATGAGCAAAAAAATGTATGTCTAGATTTGTTATCTCTTCTTTTTTGTTCGATTTAAATCTAGTTCATATATTAATACGCTGCCTTGTTGTATTTTTAAAAGGTTTTGTTTTTCCGCTGTACCTTGAGTTCAGTTCGGCCAGCAACCTTAATATTAATATGAAAGTTGTGTTTGGCTCTTTGGCTCCTTGGGTGGTTGAGTTTGACACCTCCGCTTCTTTTAAATTATGTTTCACTAAAGTTCTTTTTGAAACTCAGCCATTTTCTGAAGAGTATACTATTCCTGCCATTTTTCGCTTAAAACTTAGGTAGTTTCAGATCTTTATTTTGGGATAATGAATTACCAACACCGTACAGGATTAATTCTGACATTTGTGAAGCATTGTGATGAAATCAGGCTCTCCTCGAAATAATGAAATCGAAAAAAAAGTGAGACTGCCCCCCCC